AAAAATCTAAAATACAAAAACCAGGTTGGGATAGTAAGGAGGGTGAAGAATGGGTAGGAAAAAGACAAAAGGAGGTCTACAGCTAAGCAGGAAGCGTCTTAACAGCATCTCTCTCACTGTATTTCCAGAAGCCTCTCCCACCTACCACCCAGAGATCATTGCACTACACCAGGAATTAATCAGCATGTAAATCACCCCTTTATCTACAGAAATTGAATTTAGCTGCCAATCTTGATTGAGGGCATACAGGCCTCCTCACAGAAGGATCATAGCTCTCAAAGAGAATGCCTTTTCTTCCCTTAAATCAAAGATCTTGCACAAACCCATGGAAACAGCTGCAGCCAAAGCCACAGACTTTGTGAAAGGTGGCAGGCTAAGGATGGTAATTATAATTAGCAGTTACATAACATGTTTGTTCTTCAAAGTGCTCTACAAGCATCAGCTAATTAATAGCTTACTATGCTCCATGCAGATCCACTGGTTTTTCATGTAGTGACTAATCCTTGTACCCCCACTGAATTCTGAATGGTGGGGGCAGATAGCAAGGAAGCAAATGACTGAGGGTCCAGAAGCTATGGCCAGCTCTCTTATAAGTGACTCCATAACTAGCTCTGTGCCAGGGATATCTATCTACATTTTCAAATTTAGCTTCCTCAAAACTGGATCATGTCCTCCGGATAACTTTTGGAGGTGTTATTAGAGAGGCTGTGACCATCAGTCTAGCCCAATATGGAATTAGTTCATTCTCAATTTCTGCAACTATTAAGAATGAGACCTAGGAGTCTTTGATATTACAGGCACACCTGTAATTGTGTAATTGTGTTTCGCTAATGTGCAATCCCCAGATACTATATTTCTTTACAAATTTAAGGTTTTGGGCAACCCTGTGGCAAGCAAGCCTACTGGCATTTTTCCAACAGCATATGTTCACTTCATGTCTCTGTGGCACATTTTTATAATCCTTACAGTATTTCAAAACTTTTCATAATACTACTGCACACGTAATAGACTACATTACAGTGTAATTCATGTGACTCACTTTACTGTGAGGTTCACTTTATTGTAGTGGTCTGGCACCAGACCTGCAAATCTGCAAGGTATGTCTGTAATTAGTTTACCCTTACTTCCCTGCACAAGTCAAGCAAGTTATGGGCAAAATGTCAAAGGGAAGTTAAACCTGATCTCCGGATTCTCATTCAGGTCTGCCCATCTTTGTTTCTCTTATTGGTGTCTCTAGGTTAAAACCTCATGCATTTGTGGTGGTGACTAAATATGGGAACTTTGTGGCACAGGCAGAGCCTCTGCAGCAGGACCAAAGTTCCTGTCTACTTCAGGGAAACTTTGTTCAAGGATTTCAGGAGTACACAAATATCCTGAACGTGTTTGTAAAACATTGTTAATATATGTCTGTGCGTTCCTTTGGGGAAAAAGCCTGTTTCTTGTATTGTATTGTATTGTATTGTATTGTATTGTATTGTATTGTGTTGTGTTGTGTTGTATTGTATTGTATTGTATTGTATTGTATTGTATTGTATTGTATTGTATTGTATTGTGAACTTCAAGAAGACCCCAAAATCAATGGCATTGAATGGCATCCTCTTCCTAAATAAAATGCCTCCTCTGGAAACTCTATGAACTTTGATAAGTGTCGATAGTTGTAGAGGGGCTTCAGGCCTTTTGTTCATAGGATCACTATCAGTCATGCTGACTTGAAGGCAATCAACAACAACAAAAGAACAAAATAGGTTTTCAAGTATGTAAATATTTACAACTTCATTTTTATTCTTCAGATAAACTGGTGGGTTTGAGTTAGCTGGCAAATTCTAATTAATTCTTTCATTATGCCATCAAAACTCCTTCAAGAAAGTTTTGTTGTTGTTAGGTGCCCTAGAGTTGGGTATAACTCATAGTGACCTATGAACAACAGAGCTGAATCCTGTCCTATCCTCATCATCTCTGATACACTTGAGCTCCTTGCACCAGTCACCATGTGAAAATCCATCTCTTTGGGGATCTTCCTCCCTTTCACTGACCCTCTACCTTCCCAAGCATGATATCCTTTTCCACAGAATAGCCTCTCCTAGCAACATGTCCCAAGTACATAAGATGAACCTTCACCATCCTTGCCTCAAAGAGCACACTGGTCACACTTTTTCCAAGACATACCTGTTCTTTCTTTTGGCCACCATAACTCAAAGGCATAAATTCTTCTGTCATCCTTAGTCACTGCCTAGCTCTCAAATTCATAGCAAGAGATTGAAAAGACCCTCACCTGAATTAGGTGCACTTTAGTCTTTAAACTGACAGCATTGTTCTTCAATATTTTGGAGAGGTCTCTGACAGAAAACTTGCCCAAAGCAATACATTTCCTTTTGTCTTTACTGTGGGTACCAGGTGTGTTGATTGTGGATTCAAGTAAAATGAAATCATTGACAGTTTCAATCCTTTCTTCCTCTATTATTTCAAGAAAGTAATGTCTGGCAAAGCATTTCAAATAAAACCAGATATCCACTTCCTAAATAACATGCCTCCAAAACTCTATGAACTTTCATAAATGTCTATAGTTGTAGAGGAGCTTCAGGCCATTTGTTCATAGGGTCGCTATGAGTTGTGCTCGACTCAAAGGGCATAAACAACATCATAAAATTAATTCTGAAAAAAAAAAAATAAAATTAATTCTGATTCATGACAACTCCCAGTGGGCCAATAGAACTGTACTCCACAAGGTTTTCAATGGTTGTTATTTTTTGGAACTAGATCACAAGGTATTTCTTCTGAAGTGCCTCTGGGTGGACTTGAACTGTCAACCCTTCTGTAGTAGTCAAGTACATTAATCATTTAGACTGCCCAGGGACTGTCCCCATTCCATTGATTGTTACATTGTTGTGTATGGCAAGTCTGAGCTGATTCATAGCTGACCTTCCAGCAGGTTTTCAGCGATACTAAATTTTAAGGGAGAAGATTGTCCATCTTTGCCCCATGAAGCAGTGGATTTGAACCACATGCTTTTGAATTGGCAACACAGACAGTCCAGGTCAAATAAATATTTGTCAAATGAATAAATAGATTTCATCAAATCCTCATCTTCCTCTGAACAGTTATTCACCTGTTTCCCCTACTCTACGTGACAATCATCCTTAGTCCACATATTTTGCTTGCTTGCCCTGGCTAGATTTTTTTTCCTATAGAAAACTTGGGTAAGATTAGAGACATTCTAACACAAATCTGCAGCAAGGCAACCAGACAAAATCGATCTTGATATTTCACTTTTCAAAGCTTTGCCATCAGAGCAAAGCAAATCAACATATAGGGATATATCCCAAGAGGCATTTGGTGATGTGTAACAGGCATTTGTCACCCTCCTCAACTGACTATTACAAATGGCAAAAATTATTGCCTTTTCACACTTTGTCTCCTAGAGGAAGACATGTGAAATGAAGCTGTGTGCATAGGGTATACACATTTCTGATTCATAAATTCTCTTCAAATAAGGCAAACCATTTCAGTAAAAGACTTACTGTCATCTTCAATATGGATTGAAGTTCAACATCAAGAAAACAAAGATTTTCACCAGTGGGCCAACTGGCAGCATCATGAAAGACAGAGGAGAGATTGAGATTGTTAACAATTTCAGTTTGCTTGGTTCTGCAATCAGCACTCTTGGCACCAGCAGTCATTAGGAAACCAAAAGGCAAATTGCAATGGGAAAATCTGCTGTCACGGACTTCTCCAAAGTGCTGAAGAACAACAATGTCAGCCTAGAGACTAAAGTGTGTCTAATCCAAGCCATGGTCTTTGCAATAATTTGCTATGCATCAAAGAGCTGGCCAATGACTAAGGATGACAGAAGAAGAACTGATGCCTTCAAGTTGTGGTAGAGGAAAGTACTGAACATACCATGGGCTGCCAAGAGGACCAACAGGTCTATCCTAGAGAAGGTGAAATCAAGCTGCCCCTTACAGGCAAAGATTTTGAAGCTCCATCTCACAAACTTCGGGTATGTTGCTAGGAGGGGGCAGTCCTTGTAGAAAGACATCATGTTTGGAGGGATGGAGAGACAGTATAGGAGAGGAAGACTCCACATTGAGATGGATTGACAGTAACTGAAGTAATGTCATTAAAGGTGGATCTGTCTGAGACAGTGAGGTTGGCTAGAACAGAGGTCAGAGCTATTGTACATAAGGTCACGATGAGTGGCAGGCAACTCAATAGCACATAACAACAACACATGCAGCCAAAAGTGCTTTATACCATGTAAACATCTCCCGTAGATTATGTCATTTGATTCCCCCTATAATCTTTTGAAGGAGAAAAGGTAGATTTTATTTTGCCCTTTTATAGATAAAGAAACAGAGGCTCAGAGAGACATATAGCTAATTTAACTAATTTTAACTAATTTAAATTCTCACAATTCCTTTTCTTTACATCACCTGTTGGTTTGGGGTCATCCCCCACCCTCCAAAAGGCTATCTTTGTGAGTAAGGCAAGACCTTTAAGAATGCTCCCCAAGAAAACAGCTCATGGAGAAAAATTTTTCAGCACAGCAGGAGAAAAGGCAGGAATCATTGTGCTTTACAGTGAATTTCAAAAGATACATGCAAAATTTTTTATGCAACTTGTTTTCCCAATCCACCAAGATAAACCATAAATGCTTGTGATTTATTCAACATACATAGCAAAGAGAGGGAAGTGAAAAATAAATTAAAAAATGAGATAAAGAGAGGGAAATGCTCGATGAGATGGACTGAGCCAGCCACTGTAACAATGGGCTCATCAGAGGACGTGATGAGCTGCAGACAGGGTAAGGTTCAGATCCATTGTTCACAAGGCTATTGAGACTAATTGACTTGGTGGCACATAACAACAACAACAACACATAAAGCCAGGTGCCCACTGGGACAAATGGCCCGGCCAGACACTGCACACAGAGTGAAGCAGCACATGAATGGTTTTCCATCCCTCTAACTTTCTTGGTCCCAGGGAACCGGGAGAGTGTGTACCTGTGCACATCAGAGTACTTTCTCTCCAGATGCCTTTCTCTGTGCACACGGAAGTGATCTTCCCTCCAGGGCTCTCAAAGCCCTCTTGACAAATGTAGTGAGCCACACTGCCCAGGCTGGAGCCGGGATTCCTCTCCAGGACCGCGTGCTGCACTTCCGGAGGACTGCCACAGTCGATCTCTGCAATGGAAGGCGGCACAGGACTCGTTAGGAGTCCCAACTGCTCATTAGTATTTTGGAAATAAATACTTCATTATTATCAAGTCCATCCGGAAAAAAGAGAACACGGCAACTCCATCAAAGAATCCAACCACAGTTATATCGAGTAAAATTGTCCAGAGGTACAGAAAATAAGTGTTCCCTGGCATTAATACAATTTTCAAATATGTGTACATGGGGAATTGTCAAAAGGTAAGATTGTTTACATTGCAGCAAACTTTTTACCCTACCTAATAATCCACCTCAGGGTGTTTTGCTTTGTTTTTTTCATCTCAGGGCTTTTAAGAATTGAAAATTCAGGGGAGCTCTGGTGGCCTAGTGGCAAGAAGCTGCACTACAATCCCAGAGATACGCGGTTCGAATCCACCAAATGCTCTGTCGGAGAAGGAGGGGCCATCTCCTCCTGTACCAGTCAGATCCAATTTGATGGTACACACACAGAGAAAATAATAAAATTTAAAAAAAAAAAGAATTGAAAATTCCTGGTACAACCTGCATTATGCAGATGACACAACCCTGCTTGCTAAAACTGAGGAAGACCTGAAGCACTTGCTGCAGAAGGTCAAGGACTGCAGTCTTTAATATGGATTGAAGTTCAACATCAAGAAAACAAAGATTCTCACCACTGGGCCAATTGGCAGCATCAGTATGGCTGGTGTAGAGATTGAGATAGCTAACAGTTTAAATTTGCTTGGCTCCTCAGTCAACACTCTTGTACCAGCATCCAAGAAATCAAGAGATGAATTGCACTGGGAAAGTCAATTGTTCAGGGACTGCTCCGGAGTACTGAAGAGCAATGACATCAGGCTGGAGACTAAGTTGTGCCTGATTCGGGCTATATCTTTGCAATTGCATGCTAAGCATCGGAGAGCTGGACATTGACTAGGGATGATAGAAAGAGAATTGATGCCGTTGAGTTGTGGTGCTGGAGAAGAGTGTTGAATATACCATGTACTGTTAGGAAAACAAACAGGTTTGTCCTGGAGAGGGTGAAGCTGAATGCTCCTTGGAGTCAAGGATTCTGAAGCTTTGTCTGACATACTTTGGACATGTTGCAAGGAGACACCAGTCCTTGGAAAGGGACATCATATTTGGGAGAATGGAGGGACAGACAGCACAGGAGAGGAAGACTCTCGATGACATGGATCAATTCAATGACTGGGGTGGTGGGAGTGAGTGTGTCCAAGACAGTGAGGATAGCACAGTATAGAACAGGGTTTAGGGCTCTTGTACATAAGGTCGCTATGAGTCACAAGTGACTCAACAGCACATAACAACAACAACAACCACCTTTTATTATGTATTTTCAGATCCTTAACTCCTGATTAGATGATAATACAATTGTGGGAATTGTTGCCAACTGAACAATAACTCAACACCATTGAGTTGGAACCAATTCATAGGTGACTCTCCATCAGGGTTTCAGAGGCTGTAAATTGTACAGGAAGAGACTGTCCATCTTTCTTCCTCAGAGGAGATACTAGATTTCAACTGCTGATCTTTGTGTAGGCAATGCAACACTTTACCTACTAGGCCACCAGAGGACCTTGAATTGGCAACTAAAGAGCTGGTAATTGAAAAGTAAATGAAATATATTTTTTAAACAATCTCTGGGCTTTTCAATACAAATTATTAGAGAAAATATTTATCTTCTAAACTTTTAATTTACATAATGCCTTTCAAAGAAAAAAAATCCGTTCCATAGAGAGATAAACCTGAAATTATAAAATTGATATTAAGTTTCTCCTCTGGAACTCTCTTTTGGAACCAAAATTTCTCTTCTGGAACCAGAAGAGAATGGAATATGTTTACAGAGAATTATCTGAAGAAGAAGAAATATAGCCCTACCATCCTGTTGTCATTTTTATGTGCCACTGAATCGATTACAACTCATAATGATCCTTTAACAACAGCTCTGAACCTTTCCCTACCTTGAGCCAACCTCACGGAGCACAGCACACCTGAACCTACTGCCACAGTCACTATGTCAATCCATTGCATGCAGAGTCTTCCTTTCTTATGCTGACATTCTACCCTTCCAAGCATGATGTCTTCTCCAAGTAATGGCTCCTCCTGACAACATGTCCAAAGTAGGTGAGATGAAGTTTCAAAATACATACCTCCAACTGGACAGCATTATGCTGAGTGAACTAACTCAGTTTCATAAGGACAAATACTGCATAAGACCATGATTGTAGAAATAGAAGAATAACTAGTAAAACACGTATGTGGATTGAGGTGGGGAGAGCAAAGGGGTGAGGATGGGGGAGGGGAATCATAGAGTCACACAATTTGATCAGTGGAGGGAGGGGTAAGTAAAAGAGATGGGAAATATCCGGTGGGGATCTAGAAAGACGGGGTAATGGTGGGCATAGTTCAATGGTGATTAAGTTTATAAAACATAATGAATGAGAATGATTGTATGCAGCACAATGTAAATAAAGGATAGTGTAAAATACAATGTATATGAACTTTGTTAGCAAACAAATATAATTTTTTAAAGAGATTGCATAAAACACAATGTATATGAATGAAACACAATGTAAACTAATTGTATGAAACCCAATTTTAAAAAGATTGAAAAAAAATATCCTTGCCTTCAAAAAGCGATCTGGTTTCACCCTCTCTAGGACATATCTGTTCTCGTATCAGGCCATAGTATGTTCAATACTCTTTTCCAGCACTACAACTCAAAGGCATCAATTCTTCTGTCATCCTTAGTCATTATCCAACTCTTAGATCCATAGCAAGCCATGAAGACCATGGCTTGGATCAGTCACACGTTAGTCTTTAAACTGACATCATTGCTCTGTAGCACCAGTCTGGAGAGGTCCTTGACAGGAGGACTAACACAACTCTTCTTTTGATTTCCTGACTTCTGGTGCCAAGAATGTGGATTGTGGATCCGAGCAAGATGAAATTATTAACAACTTAAATCTTTTTTCTATCTATCATGATACAGTCTTTTGGCCTGGTGGTAAGGATTTTTGTTTTCATTATGTTGAGATGCAGTCAATATTGAAAGCTGCAGTCCTTGATCTTCTGCAGCAAGCATTTCAAGTTCTCCTCAGTTTCAGTGAGCAAGGTTCTGTCATCTGCATGACACAGGTTGCTGACAAGTTTTCCTCCAATCCTGATGCCACGTCTTCTTCATAAAGTCTCAAATGATCTGTTCAGTATATAGATTGAAAAGGTACGCAGAAAGTATACAACCCTGACACAGTTTTCTTTAAACCACGCAGTATTCCCCTGTTCTGTTCTAACAATGTTTTCTTAGTCTAGAGAATCCCAGAACATTGTGCTCATGCAAAACCTATACCTACACCAAGAAACTGTTATCTGAACACTGCATGGTGACCATTTTTGACCAAGAAAAAGAATACATCAAAGAAAAAGAAAATTATTTCAGATTCTGGTTTTTAAAAATATGTATTTCTCTATAACATCTTAAGTCAGGATTGAAAAATAGCCTAATGACAAGAAGAACAAAATTAACTGGAATAAATATCCTAAGAAAGAGGGGAGGAGTTTTTTAAAAAACAAACCAAAACACTGTTGATCAATGAACTCATCAAGATATACAGATATTGTCATATGCCATTGAGTCTGACCCGACTCTCAGTTGACTCAACAACAGGTTTTCAGAGGCTATAAGTCACACAGTAAGAGATTTTCATCTTTCTCCTAAGGAGCAGCTGCTGGGTTTGAGCCATGTGCCTTTGGGTTGGCAGTACAACTCCTTAACCTTAGGTCATTAAAGCTCCAAAATACACAGATAGGCTCAAAAATCACTAAATATTATTTTAGAGTGTGTTATAACTATTAGTAAAAAAGGTTTAGAAATAAAAGCTATAAATGTAAGAAAATAATTTTAAAATAGAATTCCAAATTATTTATGTAAATTCTGAGCATTTTAGAGGTGAAAGAAGAAGACAAACGTTAAATTTCTCATACTTTACAGCAGAGGAAAGTGCACAGAGTTCAGTTTATTCTACAAAACATAATAAATATAAAATAAAACTGCAGTAATAATTTCAAATGTAACCAATAATCCTAGCTAAATACATAAAAAATATAACTTTCATAATTCATTTTTATTTTTTCCCCTTCTATTTCCCACTATAAGAAGCAAAGAAAATGAACTACTGGCAGCCAGGCTTTTAAAGCTAAAATCAATTTATTGAGATAAAGCATTCAGACCAAAGAATATGGTATAGTCTGTTCCCATCTCCCATCATCCATTCTTGGTCTTAGAAATAAGTAGATTCTATTAAATGTCTCTGATGCAGAATTGGTAGATTTAAAACAACTGAACTTGCCTCAATCATCTCATGGCTGTTCACTCTATTGCAAGACCCTAGAATTATTTCCTTGAAAAGGAGTTTTATCTATTGTCATTGGAGTTATGGTAACAACCACAATGTAACAACCAAACCCACCAAACCAGTTTCTTAGCATTCAGATGAAAAAAATGTCTCTTCTTAAGTTCAGGTTCAAGTCATAAGCAGTGGGGGACCACAGCAAGATGGTCATTTCTGAAACCTCTAGCCCTTTCTACCTCTCCAGCCCTGTGTTCACTTTCAGAGTTTGTTCCATTTTCATACATGTTTACCACACACAAGTTTCTTTGGCTCTCATGTTTTCCCAGCATTAAACCTTTAGACATATTTATTGACCCAAAACATTCCAAGACATGAGCATATGTGTGTATACATGAGCAACCAACCAAACAGGTAGTTAATGTTTTATAAAACTGCCCAGTTGCTGTTGATATCTAAAACATCTTACAGTTTAAGCCAGGTTTCACTTACAGGTAGAAATGGGGAAGCATCCGAAAAGAAGATAGAGTATAGGTTTATCTAAGCTAAATTATTTTGAAGCTTGAATTCTAAAGATGAGCAGAGGAGATGTGTGGGAAGGAATCTGGTGGCAGATACTTGAATCAGAGAAGAAAAAAAAAA